TGAAAGTTGGAGCACGAGCGTTAGTGAGTGCTCCAATCATACAAGTTTTTCAATAATCCTTTCCGCAAGTGTATTACATACTATTTTTTCTACGAAAGTTCTCGAATTTAAAGATTTAGAGAAAAATTTTATATCAAAATGTTAAAACAACAATTTCTGTATAAATCAAGTCGTAGTACGATTCTCGTGTTTATCTGTAAAAATATAAAATCAAGTCTTCGTGACGCCGCTACGTTGTCTTAGTTACCAACGAGTTGTTTATAAAAAAGCCGGTTAGTAATTTTGCATGTAGTTTTGTACGAAGCAATTTCTTCAGTAAAACAAGAATTTAAAAGCTGAAAATGAGTGTTCATGAAGAAAGTGAGAGCGGCGATGAATTTATGTGCACTCCGCCTGAGGTTGCTGCAATGGCGGAATCAATTATGCCTGAGCTTTTGCCTGAAAAATCGAGAAATCGGTACGAAAAAGAACGAGAGAGGTTTTTTAATTGGTGTAAAATGAAACAAGTCAAGCGGTATACAGAAACCGTGTTGCTTGCCTATTTTGTCGAAAAATCTGGAAAATTGAAATCATCGACACTGTGGTCAATGTATTCCATGTTGAAAAGTATGTTGATTTTGCAAGACAACGTCGACATTTCCAAGTATGCCAAGTTACAATCGTTTTTGAAACGTAAATCTGTTGGTCACAAGCCGAAAAAATCGCTGACTTTTACGAGGCAACAAATCAGTACGTTTTTAGAGGAAGCACCCGATGAAACATTTTTAATGATGAAAGTAAGCACCTATACTTACCTACTATTTTTTCATGTCTATACATTTGTTATATGTCACACAAATAATGAAATTTATTTGTAGGTTGCTCTAATATTAGGAGTTGCTGGGGCTTGTCGTCGAGAGGAGTTGACGAAAATGACGGTGAACGATATCCAAGGCGAAGATACGTTTTTACTCGTAACGATTCCAGACTCCAAAACGCATGTTCCAAGAACTTTTTCTGTTACGGAGGGAAAAGAGAATTGGATACACTTGTACCAGAAATATAAAGCGCTTCGTCCTCAAAATGCTCAAACTTCGCGACTTTTTTTAAATTATAAAATGGGAAAATGTACCGTACAACCTGTGGGTATTAATACATTTGGAGCAATTCCTAAGAAAATTGCGAGTTACCTGAAATTGCCAAATGCTTCTAGTTTTACGGGTCATTGTTTTCGGCGTACCTCCGCAACGCTACTTGCTAATGCTGGAGCAGACCTTTTGAGTCTTAAACGTCATGGGCGGCTGGCGGTCGTCGACGGTAGCGGAAGGATACGTAGATGGTTCTCTTCAAGGCAAATTAGAAGTATGTAACAAAATAATTGGTAATGCTTGTCAATCAAATGATCCTTGCACACCTTCGACATGTCAACCAGATGATCCTTGCACATCTTCGACAGCGTCCACATCTACATTAATAACTTCTAAATGCTCTGTGTCAAATTCGTTACTTCCAGGTGTTAATATAAGTAACTGTTCATCATTTACCATTAATTTAAATATTACTAGCCAGAAGTAGCTGTAATTGTAAATTGTGGCATTAAAATAAAAAAAAGGTATCTTTGTTTTTACTTAAGAGTGTGGAAAATAAGTGTGGAAAAATTTTTCCACACTAGAGCGACAAAACCCTACTTTCAAAGGCTACTTTTTTCTCAGAAAACAAGACTTTCATCACTTTCGTAGAACAAATATTTTTTTGCACTCCTTCGTTCAAATCGCGTTTTCCCAATCAAACACGAACGTCGGGAACGTCAATTTTACAATTGACTATCTACTTTCGCGCACTAGTGCCTAAAAATTCAACGAAATTATCTATTTAGTGCGGATCATAAACTAATAAGTAGCATGATGGAAGAGTAAAAAAGAAAATATAAATACACTTTACATCATTCCCTGTAGTACACGGGCAAAAATAAGCTTAAACCAGAAGTTTTTAACAATAAATTGACATTTTAAATTTCTACTTTATCGGCATAGAGGACTTGATTTTTTCAATAGAATTATAATGTCGCAAAAATCTCGCGAAAAGGATTTGAATTTATATAAATTCGATTTAACTAATCCGTGCAAAAAATAGAATACATGTTACGTGCGTGAACAGTATTTGCTTGATTCGCGCGAGATGCGTCGTTAAGCTCATCTTCAAAATAACTGTTCCCGCACTAATAATGTAAATAACTATTCCCTAAATTCATTTATTAGAATTGTAAGGATATGAATGCGTCTATTTTTAAGAAGTGGAAGCGTTTGAGAAGAAACACTTTTTATCAAATAGTGCTTTCTGTCGGTCGGTCTACTTAGGTATCTTCAAAATCCCCCCCCACTAAAAAAATGTTCTTAATATTCCTAAACAAGGACAACAAGTATTTATGTGGACTCAATACTTAGGTACCTACCAGGTTCTTTGAAGATTTAAAATATGAATTACGTGACACATTGTTACATCTATGGCGCTCAGTATCACCAGTTTTACTCAGAAATATTTATATATATCAAGATATGATCGGCATGACAACGTTGCAAAATACCCATGTCGTCAGGCAAATTGATAACTTAATTCGTCCAGACTCCAGAGACCAAAAGGAAACATTTGTCAAGCTTTTAATTGCTAATGAATTAAATAGGTGCATGAAAACCAGCGTCTGGAGGTCACATTTTTATATGACTGACCACTAGTAAATTATTAATGATTTTAATAGATTTTAAAAATAAGTCTGTTCTGGTCGAGCGACAAATTCATTTAGAGACGTAATAACGACGAAGAGCGGAAGGAGCCAGACTGGAGGAAATCGAGAGTGGCGTGGTGACCTTCAGCTCGCGGAAAGTCGCGAGAGTCGATGAACTAGTGACCGGGGGGCTGCGGACCAGCTTCTGCATCTTGACTTGCACTTTAGTTAGACAAACATATACCTATGTAGGTAGGTATAGGTATGCGCACCCAATAGTCATTTTTTTCATTGGTGAAAGATTACAATCGGAATTTAAAACGTATACCTACTCTTCCTCTTTTGCTTCTGTTGTAACTAATTGTTACTGGACAAAATTCAAGGCAATCGTTCATTAGAATCGCCCAGTCTTGGTTGCATTGAAACATTAAACTAGTGGCCTAGAAGTTAGAGCGGCATCATGGAATGTCTAGGATAGGTCAGTTCTTTATTTACACGTCTCAGTCCGGTTTAGTCTAGCTAGTATATAGAACCACCCAATCGTTTAGACGTGTTTGTTTGGCTGGCTAAGATTGCATACAAACAAATTTCCTAAACAATGAAACAAAGAAACGGCACCAACCTGCAAAAATACCATAAACTGCGTAAATATACTCTAACGAAATTTATTGGGTCTACTTATCTTGCAAGTACGTCAAAATAATTATTTCTTATCGCAAAAATTATCTAGCATGGTAATAAGTAGATCCGACCTATCTCAACTTGAGCTGTTTTTTCATGTTATATTTAACACCCATGTTTACAATATTAAGAAAAAACAAGGTCCGAGGTGATAATCGCCGAATAAAATTACAAAAACAAGTAGGATAATTTTTTGTGCAATTCTAATTTGCTAACGACTGAACAGAATGGAAGTTTTTGGGTGTAGGTAATTGTTTAATAGTGTGGTTTATTTATTAGAGCAATTACACCAAATGTGTATCGCCTTGAACCTGTCCTTATTTTGAAAGTCGATTAGGTACGCAAGGTAAATTGAAAGCTCTGAAATGGCGAATATTATGTATAGAATAAGAAAAATTCATGAAGTAATCGAAAAAAATCTGGATTTCGCTGATTTCCCTCGACAATAACGGAGAAACTTTTCACACGAAGTTGTTAATAAAATGGGCGGATTAAATGAAAATTTTTGCCACAGTAATTTTAGCTATTTTTGGTAGGTAGCTACTCGTATCAAACTAACAAAACTATATTTTCGTTCCTCTTATAAGTACCGTTGCTATAAATGTATCAAGTCGATAAATGTATAATGGCGTTGCAATGCTCCCAGTCAAATTAAAGGGAAATTATGCATTTTCTATATTCTATATTCTATATTCTATATTTCGTGATGTGATACAATGGATCGCTAAGCAAAACTGTATGCAGCAGCATGAAAAGCAAGTCAATTCTTCTTAGTCAGAAGGGATAAATAATTGCCATACAACCAAATTTCGTATAAATTTCAAAAGAAATATGTATATGTTAACCAAGATAAAGTAACTTTTGATAATAATTTAATTAAAGGGAATCAGTAACGTGGTTTAACTATATACGTAGATAACATTCACCTCAACGGATAGGTCATAGGTCATGGTTGTCTGCCTAAACATTATTAATTGACCTCTAAAGGACATCGCCGTATTGAATTCGCATTAAAATTTCATCATTTCGGACAGACATTATCGAGCAGTTTTCGAAAGAATGTGGAAAAATGACAGTAATCGCTTCTTCGTGCCAAATGGTCATTCGGCCATTGATACCATTTTTCTAAACGGACGTTTTTATTGCGCAGTATTTTTAACCGATCCAGACGATTATATGCTAAAACAATTCTAATGGATTTACTCATCTTTATGCAGGTCCTAATCGAACATCATGTGTTTCAACCGTGAAGACAAGACGAATGTTGTGAATTAATAAACAGTGAATTTGCGCAATTTATGTGTTGCTAACCTAGCCCAACTTTGTGGGCCTCGTCACAAATACAATTACGTCACGTGGCCCCGATTTAGACTTAAAACTAAAATATCGCCCGCGATAACTGCGCGCAAAAAGCCACTAATAAGTGGGCAGGGCATATTTGAATTTAACCCGTTGTTTGTATGCTCCATAGTTTGTAAACACGCATTACATCTGTAATGTTATGTATACCACACAAAACAATTTCTACACATCAGCAACTATTGTAGATTGTTATCTAAAAATCTTAGGGAGTCCTTTAAGAAGTTGTTCCTAGATTTTTGCTTTGAGCATGACCATGATCCAAAAGTATGTACCGATAAGAGAAGTTATATCAATCGCACAGGTGTACCGATAATGTACCGAACCCATACACCTAAAAGTTGGGGGGTACATTAATAAAAATAGAAATTGGCAAACCTTCAAAAACAGGACGTCGAGTTAGAAAACGAAAGTGGCAACTATTTTGACTAGAAACCGACCGAATTCTGACATTGGGAAAGGTCAGGTTTACGTAACCCGACTCACTTTCTTCAACAACGGACGCCAATAACACAAAATTGCTTTGTTCTTCCCGAAGTTACTGTCCTACAAGGTGATAAGTGCAATGTCGGCGTGGAATGTGGAAACTAAAATTAGATTAAGAAAAATGTTCTTGGCATTTCTCAATACGTAAAATTTAGGGCAGGTCAAATAAACACCAAATTTTTTCAGATATAATGAAGGCGGGTTGCCATGGTTTAAAAAACGATGGGAGAACGTACGATAGAAAAAAAATTGATATTGAAATTGCAATTTGCAACTTATCTAAATCAATTAAAAATAATACGTAAATAATAGCGATAAAACTACCAGTGGAAACCGCTTTATTAAATATATGGCTGGAAGTTTAATATACCCCACGTCGAAATTACGCCAATTACTATTACTATTCGAATCAAATATCTCTTGCATGTCAGAATGTGGAAAATTCTACAATTTTGACGTGTAGTGGCAAAATACACTCCCTACAGAACGGCCGAAGATCGAAGTTGGCCAAAGCAACAAGCACATTTTTAAGAATTTTATTTGTGAACATAATTTTAGTACAAATAGAATCCGTATTTTTATCAAATATATTTGTCGGTATTTTATTTCGGTTCAACGCGAGATGCCTGTACGTGTAACAGTATATAAAAAGAAAAGAAAAAGGCGCATTTAAACGAAATTATTTTCATTTACTTCTACGCGAGCAAAACAAATGATTATTTTTCTTCCCCTTTTCCTTTTCCTTTTCTTCTTTATTTAGAACCACGACTGATTTATTTATCTCTCTCTCCCTTTCAATATACATATTTTTAAGTTCATTCCACTAATTGTTTTATTTTCTTAGTTTAGGATGGAGTTAAGTGGTAGAGCAGTTCTAGGGTGTCTCACCACAGAACTGAACTTCGCCCCGTTAGATCACGGAACATTAATTTCATTTTTCATTTACTTTTAATTATTTAGTTTATTATCTATTTGAATGTTTATTTTATGTTTATTTCCTTCTGTACTTCCAGTAATCTAATAAATGTCACTTATTATTATTATTATATTTATACCAAGGTAGAAAAGTCTAGTATCATTACCTGAGCACCATGATTACATTCCGAAGCACTTGCGAAACTTCTCTACCATGGTATTTATATTATTTGTTTCACTATACTTGGTCCTCTAAGATTATATATCTACTGCATTGTTGAGAAAGTGAATGGTTTGTCAGAATTTGTTCTTGATTAATTTTACAATTACAATTGAAAAAAAAGGTTTATAATCATGTGATCATAGGCTAGTAGTGAAAAAAGAAATGTCAGTCGCTATTGTAGTGTGTATAGTCTAAATCTGAATCACGTCTTAAAATATTTTTTCTAAAAAGCTTCTACTTACATTGAGGTCGATGCGGGTACGGTGGCTGATGTGACATGTGCCCCCTATGGGGGTGTCCATGCCCAGGTGGGTGGTAATGGTAAGGGGCGAGGAACTGCTGGTTTGGTGGAAATCCTAATGGTGAATGCGGTCCGAGACCTGGTGGTTGTAAGCGCGATTTAAGCTCATCTGTAGACGCGTGACCACTGGAAGAACTATCGACATCGGAGACACCTGAATCCGCCGGACTCGGTGGCAGTGAGCCTAAAAAAAATTAAATTCGTTAGTAAGCCCTAAAATGATGTAGGCAAATAAATCAAAACTTTCAGTTGCGTTGCAAATAAAAATGCAAATCGACTTAAAAAAGTGACCACCAAAAACCCCAAGTTCTCACGTACTATCCTTTCACATCCTGCAAATCGCAATAATGCCGGCCATCAAACTATCCAACGGTCATCGTAGGTAACGACATAATCGGGAATCCTACAGCGACCCAAATCAAAAACGTAAAAATTAAAGGTGGATAAAGGGGTCGATAGTCTATGGGTCTACTGTAGATTGACCCTTTTATGACCCCGTCCTGTATAATAGATATGATTAATGGGCAGTGAGGTCAGCAGGTCACGCCGGACATTAAGGGATGAACCGGACATCGGCTCGCGGAATTAAAGCGACTCGGAAACAGGTTCGCGAGCACAAAAGAACGAGTTGCACATGCCAGGGGTGTGTTGTTTATTTACTGCCGGTTGAAGGGTGCAATGCATGCGTGACTAATGGGGCTGCTCCCGGGAACTGGACGACCGACACCTAAATTTATATTAATCCTCGGATATTAATGATAAAAACAGACGCATTAGACGGATCCAAGAAACCATACAGAGCACAATGCATTTGAGGGTACATGTGTGAAAAGTCGGCTTGTAGCTGGTTTAACGTATTAAACTAGCGATCACTATCCTTCAGGTAGAAGAAGCCACTTACTTTGACCATACGCATTATCATTACAAATGGTACTACAAAGGATCTCGTCTTAGATGGGGCTAGATTACTTATAAAACAGCCTAATTGTACAATGAGATGAACCACTCGAATCAAAATAATGTAATGAACACCTTTTAACAATTGCGAAAGCCGAAAGGGTGCGGAGGACCGTTGCTTTTACTTCCTTTTTCTTGGCTGATACAAATAATTGGTATCTACCGGTAAAATGCCAGAAAACGAGTTTACTACAGGAATTAGTGACCACTTATATACGTATACGACAAAAAGGAAGGGCTAAACCTGTCGGAACTTCTTCTATGTCAACTGGTCAGTATACCGTACTGACCATTATGTCCGGTCCCGAATTTAAAAAAGAACATTTTGAACTAGAACCCTCACTCACCTATTAAATCAGCTAGATAGTTAAATCGTTTAACATAATCCTCGTGTGGGAAAATACTAGGACGTTACTTGTTGGTCAAGCTTTTCTATACGGTCAGTACAGTATCAAGATTGACCACTTATTTACAAAAATTAAAATATAAACCTTTGAAATAGGATATCCGTCGGAAAAAAGGATTACAGCAACATTGTTCGTTAAATGTGTACGTATTTCAATTCGGCAAAGTGAATGTAATTTAAATCTTCATTGAGCAACGTTATGGAAGGGGAGAAAATATTTGGTAACAGAAACAATGGCACGATCATGATCGTCTAATGTAATTTTGGATGCACATTTCATTTGTACAAATTTATATTTAACCTGTGCAATGGAACGTAGGAGAAATAAATACTATTTGTTTCTCACGAATTGTAAGTAACCTATTACACTGTGTTCTTTGTACAAAGAACTTTGTAATTGCGAGTAAACAAAACTAAAAATAGCAAAATTGCAAAATTTTGTTTTCCGATCCGTTCAGGGTGTAATTTGAATGCACCTGTCACAAATCTAAAGATCAACAAATGTGAAAATTAAAATGTTGTAAAAACGACCTAGGTCATCTCCTGCAGTTTTGGAGATATTTAACCCAAATTTGTAACGCAAGTTACGCTGAATGTCAATGAGAATGAGAATTACCTACAGAGTGTTGTTTTTGTTGAACATGATCGTTCGATTTTCTACCCTTGAATTTTTTTCCGGTGTGTCGCTGGTAAATTGTAAAATAAGAAATTGATTTCTGATTTGTTTAGACACTTTTTGGTCTTTTGTAATTTTTTCGGGTCTGCGACCAAATTCATCCCAAAATAATAAGAAAATCTACCTAATCCCAATCTTAATTATTGATATTCATACCTCGTATTTGTGGTATGAATGTAGGATTGGAAATCAAACCATCATTGATGAGACATAGAATGGATTAGTTGTGCCTAACTTTTTTTTATCACAGGTGATTTTGTCATCTGTCCGTCCACGCTTTAACTCATTCTATTAATAAATGAATACTACAGATGTTTTATGTTAATTTTAAGTACATTTTTTGTATCATTAATTACAACTGTTTGCCATTATGTTCGTGCAAGACTTCTTTATTTATTTAACCACAGGTCCCATCAGGTTATGGACCCAGTATTGCGCGAATTTATTTTTTTTGGAACTTCGTTACGAACTTGGGTTATCATAGAAGGTTCGCGAGTTTTAACAGATAAATTGAAGGGGCCCAATTGGGTTGAATTTAATGGCTGTGTGGCCAACGCAATCTACTGAACTGACTACAGATGCACCGCCCAAGGTCAGCGGATCGTTTGATAAGGAGAAGAAAGCCTTCAAGACACTTGAATTTATAGATCAGAATATTATTTTTTTGTGTTTGTCAAATCAGATAAGACAATTGAAAAGGATGTCTACGATACCGCTAGAAGGAAATGTGGGACAAATTGCCTTCAGTTTATGAGTAAAGATGAACAAGATCGAATTTTCAATCAGTTTTTTAGTATAAGAGAAAGGGAATGGATTTTATTGCAAAACATGAGAAGCTATGGACAGAAATTCAAGACGAGACGGAGGACATGGTAAATTCACTGTTCCTGAATCGTGTTTTGAACACGATGCCGCCGAATACCATGATATTCAGCCCAGTGATGTATCAGAAAAAACGTTATTTTGCCTAGGCAAAATGACGTTTTTGACAGATAACCTACACGTTAAGTTTAACGTTAGTGATACATCACAGGGCCGATTATTAATGCTTTGAAGACCATACCTAAGGAAAATCTTAGAAAGAGGTTATGTGTGGTTGAGCAGCGGCTGATTTATAGAAGCTCCTTAAATAGTTCTAATAAGGATGCTGCCTATTTTGACAAAATAAGCCCAACAAACCCAAGAAGTTTATCCCAAAATGTTTCAAATGTGGCGAGTTAGGTCATTATAAGCGGGACTGTAAGAATTCCAAGAAGTTCGTCTGAGAAGGACCTGAGTTTGTTAGCTTCCAATGATTGGATTGCAGATTCCGAGGTGCAACGCAGAACATGACCACGAACCGTAATTGATTTTCCACTTTTGAGGGGTTTTTCCGAGAAGAGTACGAGTTCAAGTGGGAAATGACCAATCACTCAAGGCGCTTGGCAAGGGCATTGTCAATACTGAAATGACTGTCAATGGTAAGGTAAAAAAGGGTGTTGATTCTGAATTCTTGAGAATGTGTGGTTTGTTCCAAGTGGGTAAACATTTGTTCTCGATGATTTCTGCTCTAGATAAAGGGTACTATTTGATTCTGAATGATAAGAATTGCTACATTTACGAGGAGAAGGTTTTGTTTCCTCAATCCACGAGATCAAATGGGCTGTTTAGGCTTGTCTCACAGTGGAAGCGTTTACGCGCGAACTGAAATACGCATGTTAACGTCAGAAATTGTACGTCCGTATACGCACAAATCGCATTCGCACATTAGCTGCGTATCCATCATGAGCTGAGCAACTGTTCACAAGCACAATTGTCTACAACCTGCGAATTCGCATAAAAATCCGAACAAAATGGGATCGGTTCGCAAGTCGCAATTAAACGCACGTATACGGACGATTTATCAATCGCTAATGTGCGAAGGTCCATTTGAAATCGTACGTTTGAATAGTTCGTCCATAAACGTACGTATTCGTACGAATCCCAGTTCGCGCGTAAACGCTTCCACTGTGAGACAAGCCTTATCCTGAACATGTGTGATTAGCTTAGCTCATCAGAACACACGTCATGTTCTCACCTTCCTGGAGACAAACGAGATCGACGTCAATGGCGACTTAAAATCAGACATGTATGATGCATGCATTAATGGAAAAATGCACCGTTTGAGCTTCGGAAAACGCCACAACAAAATGGCGGTGCCTAGCGATAGAATCGGACGTTGGGCACAGAAATTTTGGGCTGAGCTGTGACTAACCGAACAGGCGTGTCTCCGGAACCAGGGATTTCGCCATACGAACTTTTGTACAAGAAGAAGCCTGCGATCAGCCATCTTAAAGTATTCCGTACTGAATGTTATTTGGTTGGTTACTGTGGTTATCGAGTATGGATACTGGAGGAATCAAGCAAAAGCAAGTATGGGTGTGGCGTCACTAACTCAGAAGGCGCTTAGAATCCTACATCAGCACCAGAAACGGTAGTATACAAAATTCAAGACGCTAAGAATCATTCGTGGAAAATGAAGGAAAACAGTACTGGAAACTTCGGGACAGATCCGAATTGAAGATTCCGAGAAAGTGGAAGAGCTATGCGGCCAGTGGAACTTCAAAAGGCTCCGCCATGATGGCTGATGAAGCTGAACCGTCTACCATTAAATGATTTCAAGCCAAAAATCAGAAAATGGATTTTGGTGATAAATGGATGATTGTCTGGTAGATAGCATCAGGGATGGAAAAGATTTGCAAAATCTGATTGCTGTGATCAATGAACCTTTCGAGATGTATTCTCTAAAGATTTTATTTTTAGGGGAAGTGTTGATGGAAAGATCAAATAACCGGCCGTTAATGATTTCGAATGTTAATGTGTTACTATGAGAGTGAAAGTAAATAAATAGCAGATATTGAAAACTGTCATGTTCCCTTTATCATGTTAAATTACATTACTTTTTATCATTAATTATTGCAACTGTTTACCATTCAATTAGTGCAAGACTTTTTTATTTATTTAACCACAGATCTCATCAAGGCAAGACAGAACTTTGTAGTAGGTTGGTGCTAGTGGTCAAAAACACTAGACACAAATAATTTATGGAAAAAAATATAAAGGTTAGATTTATTTTAGTGATATCTTATTTAACATGTAGGTATACGTTTAAAATTGCAACTTTCTTACCGTTCCTTAGAAAATGAGAATTTACTTCATGTGGTATACGTATTATCTAACCTAACCCCACATTGTAAGAGGTAGAAAATTGAACCGTCGAATGCTTTGACGGATTACTCAGGGAAAAATCAAGAATATAATGAATGAATTTAGTTTGTTTTAAGGTTGTGGAAATCAAAAGTGGATTCGAATATATCGAAAACGTTAGGTGCACTTCTACGAGAGGATGCTTTCTTTATGTAAAATTAAAGCAGTGGCTTAGATTAACTGCGGGCATGTTAGTACTACTTTGGATGTCAAAAGAAGTAGCTCTCGTGTATGCCGCCTTGTGCAGTTTGAATCTTGTTGCTAACGATTCTGTAACTGCTGTAGATGGCCAAATCTTCGGAAGTAATGACCAGTGTAAGTTTCCGGATTACGTAGCTTCAATTGTTTGCCCATCGCACTAAATTTATGGATTCCAATTCCCAGATCTACTAATTTCTTATTGGCTGTCAGCAGTGAGTTTTTTCAAACAACGCCCCGTGAGTAATGGGTTACTCACTGCTGTTCTCCAATATAAGCGAATAATACATACCGTTGCTAGCGTTTATTGTAACCATTATTTGATGTTTTAGCCAATTTCTATGTCGCAAACATATTTATCAACGTAGACTTTACTTTATAAAACCTAGCGACTTTTTTAAAAAGAAGGTCAAAATCTTCCACAAATACAGAATAAAAAGTATATGTTTAGAAATTAATTTCAATAACCGAGATAAAGTCATAATCTCCTCCCAGATATCAGTCATTCACAGCAACCTTGAAAAAAAAGAATAAACATGTAATTTTTCTTATCATTATCACCGCACGGTGATAATTACAATGATTATCCTCAGCTTCAAAAGAAACACTGCAATCTAATAACGATAGCATCGGTTGTAATATTTGCGAAATAGTCATCAATAATGCTGAATGACACGTAACCCTAATGCGGGTGTTTTGTGCGGCTACTTCAAAAATTTTGGGGTAAAAGAGAGATATAGAAACCCATACGGAAGAAAATATGCAACCCTTCTTAGTAATATGATGTAAGCAGCTGCGAGAGTCCATTGTATTTGCTGTAAATAACCCTTCTTTGCACAATTGGCACAACTGTATGCGTAATACTTTCTGAAAATCCGTATAGAATTGCATGACAAATATTATTTAAGTTTATGCTGTTTTGATGAAAGTAGAATCGCATCTGGCACCCCCTGCTTGATACAAACACTATGGAACAAATTAGAAAGTGACACAAAAAGATTCTTTTTTCGACGATATTTAGGTGTTACTTACCAGTTGTCGTCGTTGTATATGCAGATGTACGATGAGCAGTAATTAGAGCGTGTGCGTGGTGCAAACCGGGATGCTGTCCTGAAAGAATTCCGTGTAAAAGCGCCCTGGAGTTTTCAGATCTGTGGTGTTTTGCGGGTGGTGGAGATTCGGATATTCGCAAAGGTCCGTAACCCATTTCGCTATTGTCCACTGTAACAAAACAAAACAATGAGGAGACTTGTCGAAATGGATGGCAGCGGAAACGCTCGGCAACTCGGATTGCATTTACTATAAATCTAGATTTCCTACCAAAATCGCCTTATTTCAGAAGGCAAGAAACACACATCCGGAAGGGAAAGTTCCCTTGACCCAAATGAGATTCATAGACCGACTAACAGATTGAATCAATTACATGTTACTCGCACTCACAATTGCATAATCGTACATTTTAACGCATTGTGTATGAACTAATTAACCCTTTCTTTTGAATTATTTATCATAACGTCAGAATTACAGAAAAAAGGGAAACATTTACAAGTAGGTAAATGTCAATTTAAGCTGTTTCGTCAGTGCTCGTGGGTAGATTAACCTAAATAAGAAAGTGGTGAGAAAGTAAGACAACATTTTAAGTTAATAACGAAATAAGTAAAAAGCGTTACTCAATGAATTAGTAACAAAACAAAAACTTTTGATGTCATAAGAAACCACGTCTTAGCCACTTTGAATTAACAAGAATGTCATCTACTCAAATAAGAATTTTTTTATGTTTACTCAAGTACAGCAGAAATTCGTGCTTTGAAGGTAAACGGTCATCTTTCGTCAAAATCGGAATGAACTAAGCTAATTAGTTGCCGGATAAAAAGCGACACTGGTCATGCGGTCATTGCTGAAGATTGCATGATCCCTTTTGTGAAAATCTAATTGAATAAGATGTCATGTCCTTTGCATTATTTCACGTACCTACTCAATTACCTTGTTACAAGGCACTATATAAGAAAAAACGATTAAAAGATCTCTTACAGCACTTTTAGTATAATAACTGTGAAAAAATGAGGATTAAATCAATTTGTATGTCGATCTGATGCCTAAACATACATCGAACATTCGGATTACATACAGGGTGTCCGTTTTTCGAGCTTAAAAAACTAGGAAACAGTGGTATCTTGGGAAATGGTTCGCAGATTTCTTATGGGACAAACAAGTTTTTTTTTAAATTAAAATAGGAAAGAATTAAATTACGAACATGAACTATAACAATAATAAACAAATGCAATTTTTAATTTTCTCACCTACACAACCATTAATTAAGTATAGGTAACTGTGCCATTTGCTTTGGACTTTTGTAAATCATTCCAAGGACATTCTTAGTTATATTTGTAACTTAATTTCATAATTTAGGTAAAAGCAATAAAACAGAAACGTCAAACGGAAGACAAGTGCCAAGAGTTGCCCCAACTTTTTTTTTGCGTTCCCAAAGCTCGGTGATACGTGTAACGAGAGATTTGTAGCTATCACAGGACGGCATGCCAATACAAAAAATAATTGCTTTATAAATACATTACATAGATACGTTTTCCCCACTTTCCTCCTGTTTTGGGGTCAAGGCGAGTATTAAATGAATTGAGGAAATACTAAATTACCTTTAGCGAGTGAAAAGCTTTTTGATATGCCGGAGATAAAGACGAAATGTACCTACACAGGTATTGACGCATTATATAATTGTCGGAGTTAATATTTACTTTTTTATATGTAGAAGATGGCCTTAACCCAAATAATCTACAAGTTTTCTTATGTAATTGTCGGTATATAAAATCGACTTCCTTTAAAAGGACTTGTTTTTTACTCTCAGAAGTAGGTTTGCAATTTTGCGTGCGAATATTTAAAAAAATTATGCGCTCACTAGGCAAAATGGATTTTAGTCCGTCTTCATGTAAAAAATAGATCTATATAATAAATGCGGACAGTACTCATCTCGTTACAACAGGTGGCAGTGCCTTGTTACTTTTTTTAATTTAACCAACACGAAACGTTTCTATTCGTGCTATTTTAACGTCACATCATAGAGATAAATGCGTACTATAAAGATAATGGATCAGACGACAACTGTAAGCACGCGGAAGTTATTAAAACTGTAGCGTAATTGCGGGTCATATTGTCTTTCAAGGTCGTTTGTGTCCTACATTTATGCACCCCGGAACATTTTTACTTGCCATTTCGATTCATAGGAAAGTTGTAATAGCTAATTATGTAAACGTCACAGATTTATTTAAACTATTGAGGTGAAGGTTACTTGTTGTGGTAGCCGCAAATCAAATGGCTAATGATTCTGTCTAAAATATAGACGTAAGTGGAAGAATTTAAATTATTGTAATAGAATTCGGAGATGCTTTCCATTGTAAGTTAATAAGCACAGGACCTTGAATTTTTTGTGTATTTTTGATGACAATTGGGAAAGTAAATGTAGAAGTCAATGACTTTCAAGTTCTAAGTATTTTACCAAACATGGTACGCAACAGACAGAAAAACTTCATAAGGTTATCGATAATGTACAACCCCAAACGTAAACTCACCAAATATATTTTTTCATTTCACGTAAATTCGGTTAAATTAAAAATATTATCCAAGTAAGTGATAATATTTGGCAATATCGGCGATTTAGTTTGATTTACATGGGCATTGACATTGGAAACGCACAGTATCTGAACCG